GTATTTGAACTGTTTTCTCACTTAATGTGGTCATTAGGAGAAATTGGTTTGAATATTTATTTCACAATTCCTTTTCAAAAGAGGAGGTTTAAATTCATATATTGGCAACGAATGAAAGTTAGTGAAAAGAAGAATTCGCGATCAATAAATCACTAATAGATGAAAGTGTTGAAATTGAAAGTTGTGATTGATGTTAAGTTAGACTGGTTGGGATTGGATTTGAGGGAATGATTATGAGTAGAATCATTATTTAATCATGGAAAATTGTATGTCTATATGCTTCTTTAGGAAGTCTTATGGGAAGTAAGAAAGTCAAGGAACCGAGGAATCCTAAGGACATGTTGGCTTAATGCTAGAATTGGTTACAAATTGGCAGGGGTGAATTGGCATTGCATGTAGTAATCGCTCTAAAAACTATTGTCATTGTAACAATGGATCTTTCAATGACAGCAGGGGATTAAGGGGTTGACTAAATCGATTGGTGAAAGAGAATAATCCAAGGGAATAGAGGTTAATCATTAGGAGCATCAATATATGGAAGAAATTATAAATATTTTAAAGATGGTGCCTTGCTTTAGTTATAAGGTTGTAGTAAGGGCAGCAAAGACATTACCTTATGTGAGAGTTAAATAGTATTTTAACAATTGAAGAACTTTTTGTTGAAGTTTAAATTGAGACATAAATACTTATTATGTTTAAACATGCATGGGTGTGCCTTTTGATACTTAGCATATTTAAATACAAAGATGTATGTCTTTTGAAGTTTTCTTCAAATTAAAGCTTACACGAAACCTTGTTTATGAGACAAATGAATCAGTGGGAAGATGAGTCCTTTTTTGTTTCAAGTTTTTATGCCAAATGCTTTTGAACTGTTTACTTGGAAAAGCTCAACATTTTCTTAATTCTTAATGATTATGGATCCTTATAGACTTTTGGAAGCAAACATTTTTCAGCTTTACAATGGGAATTGAGAACTTTTGTTTACCTTTTGAGTTCTTATTCTGACGAGGAGTTAGAGGATTTTAAGCAAATGAAAAATTATAAGATATATTTTAACACATATAATAGGAATTGTGAAATAAAGTCTCAACTATCAAACTTAAAAAAAAAAAACTATGCATGCACTTAAGAAAGGTTATGATGGGACAAATATAACAATTGAGCATTGTGAGTAACCAAGAGTCGCACCAAGATTCTAAGTACTGAAACTTCGCCTGAGGTTAAGGATGCTAGATAGGCATTTGATCAATTCTTTTGATATTATGTGTATCAGGTACTAAACCATATATATTACATTATTATACCATTAACTTATACTCACATTTTCCATATGTATATATCACGAGACACTTTGCCACAATACAGACAACCATATAGCAATTGTTAAATCAATAATAGTGATCTGTATTATCACAATATAAACAATTATGTGACAATGGCATAATCTACTATCGTGACTTGTCACAAACTTAATTACCATGTGATACGTTAGATAAAAAATATGCATGATCAATTCTTCCTTATAATTTTCTTATTTCCTTCGATTGAAACTGAGTGATATAATATTAATTAGGGCTCTATTCGTGTGACTGAACTATCTAAACTTACTAATTGTGGGGAATGACCTAGTCAAATATCATTACACTCACTTTCGGGCCCACGGCTTCTCCATTCTTGAATCCTTAAAGTGTCGTATACCCTAAGCTAATCTTCTCGACAAATAGTTAGAGATAGTTAGGTTCTAGTCATTTAACAAATTATGAGACAATTCCTCGACAAAGAATGAGATAATACTAGCCTTTATGCATTGAAAGAAGCTATAATTATTATATGGATTTATTTTACTCCTCTTTCTAAGTGAACTGATATCAAGATGTTTATATGTTTTAAAAATAAAAAAGATATCTCTTTAACCAAGTAAAATATGGTGTATTTTACATTTTAAAATATATTAATGTATTAATAACTAGTTCAATCACTATTTGACTTGATGCAATCCATCAAAAAGCCTTAACTACTATATGAAACCGTTCCATGGCTGGTTTGACTTTTGTAAAATCAGTCAGGAGTTAAATGCTTATGATTATTTAAAATGTTTAGTTTATTTTAATTATCTTTTTCATGGATTTTGAATTTTATTCCTTAAATTTCTTCACCAAATTTTCCCCCCTAATCATTAGATTTCTAGACTGCTCTTCAAATTCCTGGTCCAACGGGAACTTCATAGATTGAACGCACCTAATCACCTTTTGTCATATCATATGTGACGACAAGGAAGGTTTCATATTCCATTTGGACACGTATTTTGTTGTGAGGATGGTCTTCTCTACTTCAGCGATAGTGGAAGAGGACTCCATTATAATCTGGATGAGAAAAATGTCAAATCTTCCGCGGAACGAACAAAACTTGAGCCTTTGTAGCGTCGTCATTGCTTACACTTGTGTCCGTGTCATGTTCATTGAAATT